AAAAATCATCTAATTATTTAAATGATTCATTCTAATTATCCCAAAATAATTACATAGTTAAAGTAGTAAATTTCAACCTTTACGGTATTTTTATAAAGCAAAAAATTCATGTATTGCTCAAAATACATACTCATTAAGTTTAGAGATATTTTGGTAATTTCATAAAATCAAAAAAATAATAAAATAAAGTTGAAATCTACACATCTAAATTTTTTTTAAGGAACTTTCTGGACTGAAGAAAGTATTTTAGAAGTTAAGTTTAGTTTCCTAAATATTGGGGTTATAATAGAAATTTATTAAGGAAAGTCAGTTAAATACTAAATATAAGAAATTTCTAATCTTATATAACATGAAATGATTTCTTATTAAAGTGGTTAAGGTGCGCCCTCTTTTAACAGGAGGTTATGGGTTCAACCCCCTATCTAAACATATATCCATATTTATTTATAGTGGATCGAAAACACAAGTTTATGGGTCGGATTTGGGTCCGGCCCAACCCGGTCGCAACCCAAAACACATAGCAGGCCAGCAGCCATGGCTGCGATTTTCTCATCAATTGAAGCTTCGATTTAATCCATTTTTTTGATCTTTTTTCTTCATTCTTTTTATACTAAAACATTGGTAATATTTTTATCAACATTTTGACATAAAGAACATAATTTTTCGTCAAGAAATGAGTTCCATTTTCTCATTTAAAGTTTTAGTTTTAAAATAAGCCGAACGAAACTTTAAACTTCAAAATTGAACCATAAAACACCAAATCTGGAACGTAAGGTTATTAGGGTTCTATAAAGGACTAAAAAACGAAGTTAACCATATAAAGAACATAAATTTTAGTTGAGTATTTTTACCTTTAATCATCGATAAACGGAGATTTCGGATGGGGACTTTTGAGCTCCGATTTCTCTCCCGATTTTCAACGAAATTTCAAAATGTTTGAACGAAAACTGTAGAGGGGAACGTTGTCTATATATTCTTGATTTTTTTTGGTTTATTGGTTGACTGAACGAGCCAATAAGAAGTCTCAAAGTTGGCATCGTTCCATCACTTTCAAAAATCAGAAAATGGCATATTTATATAATAGGTCTTTCTGGTTTGGACCTGTTAACACCTGACATACCCCTTTAACTATGACGAATTTACAATTTTCATCCATGTCTTGACTTTTTCTTTCACCTTTTGTCGATTTTTAAACTTCTTTTAATTTCTATATTTATTTAACACACACACACACATATATGTATGTGTGTGTGTGTTTTATAATTCAAAAAAATGAAAAGAACAATAATGAAGATAAATTATTTATTTCTCAAAAATTTTGGATTTTACGTATATTATAATATTTGAATTTTTGAAAAACAAATTATTGAAAAATGTCTATTATTTATGATTTTTAAATAACCATTACATATAATATGAATAAAAATA